TTTAGTAGTTAACGTGAGTATAAACTGCGGCAGATGTACAACAACCTGCTCCTACACGCTCGAGGGTGGCTGTCCACGACCAGGTTCTACACCTTGGCTGCCCAACCGCTCTCTCACACACTCTTGTGGCAGAAGACGGTAAGTTCTGCGTATCTCCTGCATCCTGTCCTCTCGCATAGTACATCGCATTTTGACGTATAAATCCCCCGAGACCAAAAACTGATGTGCTACAAAATCAATGTGATGTTCAGTTTTCTATTCGCGGGTCCTCGATTAGATTTGGTTCGAGTAATTTAGTACATCATTTTTGTGATGTTATGAAGCCGGCAGCCATACGCCGCCAAAACCAAAATGTAATAACAGTTTTGGAATCAACCGCCTTCACACTTCAGTTATTCCAATCGTTTACTATTCTTTTTGTAAAGAGAAATTTCTAATATTTTCTGCGACATTTGTTTCCTTAGCTTGAATCTATGACCTCTCGTACTTACGTGCGCGCATTTCCAAGTAATAGAGACTCACAAATGCTGGTGTTCTTACACTGTTTCTATACCTCTAGAACGTGCCCTCCAGTATTGCCGTCTACTGCCGGGAAGCGGAATTCGAACAACTGATAGAGGCGCTGAGGGAGACGCCTCTATTGGACTGGCAACGACACCTGATCTATGATATTCCCCACTTCCTGGTTGAGCCGCTGAAGATGCTGGCCCAAGAGCTGGGGAGCTCCCTCGTCTATTGGAAACCAACTTACACATTTACTTACCGCCCTAACATGGATACTGAACTCCTCAGGTTGGTACTTACCTTACCATACAGTGAACTTTAAAGTGGCAATATCAACCGTGCAGGGATATATACACCAAGAAGTGTGCTCCATTTCTCGGTATACACACACTGCGTTTATTTTAGTTATGTACTTTGTTCAGGGATAAAGTATACTTGCTGGTTGGTCAGTAACCTAGTGTCAAGGCTTTAATAACCCTCGTACAGTTGATAGGCCTTAAGGCTTAAGCCCTTCACCAAACTAAACGTCGCATAGAGTGGAAACTCAGGAAAGTTTTTGCCAAATTCATTTTTTTTCTTTTTGAGATATATACAAGAGTTGTTACATTCTTGTACAGCCACTAGTACGCGTAGCGTTTCGGGCAGGTCTCTGGAATACGATCCCCGCCGCGAAGAATCGTTTTTTCATCCAAGTACACATTTTACTGTTGCGTTAAACAGAGGCTACAGTTAAGGAATTGCGCCCAGTAAATCCTCCCCGGCCAGAATACGAACCCATGACATAGCGCTCGCGGAACGCCAGGCGAGTCTCTTACCACTACACCACGGAGACTGTTGAGGAGGCAGGTTGATATTTGAGGGAGCAGTTCTATAACTACGCAGGCTTCATGGTGTTAGATGTTAGAGACGTCTTGTATGTAAGGCAGGGAATGGCTTAGACAATTATTAACATATGTAAGATAGGAAAGAAAAATAGCTTTAATTATATGGAATATAATATGAATAATTATAAAAACAGACAATATGTAACGGCAATTTCAACAATTCAACAGAATGAATATACTGAATACGTTGTAATAAATGCGAATGATATTAAAAAGCTGACAAAAATGATGAAACAATTAAGCAATGTTTAGCATAACATAAGTATGAGAACACTTTACAAGCATTTAACAACAATTATTAAGTCTGCCATGATAGCAGTCGAAGGATCATGTAGTACACTTGTGGTGTATGTATGGTAGGGCATGTACCCGGGTCGTCACAGAGCAATGCTTTCACAAGCAATATCTGTATTTGATTATATTATTATATATAGTTAAATGATATATTTCTTACCGTTGACTGTATTGCATATATATATATATATATATATATATATATATATATATATATATATATATATATATATATATATATATATATATATATATATATATATGTACGTGTAAAAATCCATGTTCATGTTCAAAAACATAAACATGGATTTTAACACGTGGAACATGGAAAAAAAAATGTTCTAAAATATTATGGAGTTCGAAGTCAGAACTGAAGTTAAATGTATGATTAACCTGGACTGATGGTACTTGCACTACCAGTCAAACACTTCCCTCAGCGAATTTACTTTTATTGTGAGAGTATAACTCAGGCAACAAATATGCTTGCTGCCTTTGGCTGTTTACTTAAAAAATAACATTGCTCTGTACCCAGCATATTGAGACTTCGTCGGGGGGGGGGGGGAGGGGGGGCCGTGTGTGTGGGCTATCGCGCCTCTTTAACTCTTGTGAAAGCCTATACCTCCCGCCAACTAGTTTAAGGAGCAGGTTGCCTATGACGGGTGGTGGTCACTCACCTGGCGCCGGCGGCGTCTCCCTTTGCTACCGCCACACCTCCACACACCCATCACACCAGATGTGGCGACAGAGGCTGGTTTGGGGATGCTGCCGCGAGTATCTCTGTGTAGGGGGTAAAAAGGGGGCATAACCTGACTAGGAAATAGCCTGTACCCAGCATATCATTCTTCGCTCTTGCTTTCAGGAACAAGCCAGGTTTCCGCGTCTGTAAACTTGTCAAAACTGGGCTCCAACACCTGCTGGAGAGGAGCAGCTTTAACAAGACCCAACCGCTGGAGTCCACGTGGAGCCTATCGCAGCATCTGCCATCTGTTGGAGTATTCCTCGACTCGAGCGTGACTAAGGACTCGCCCCTAGACCTCCAGCACCTGCCCTACTCCGGAAATGAGGAAACACCTGTCTCCTGGATATCACCCACCATGTATGGAAGCATCGGCATGTGGGGGACGGACGACAGCTACAGGAATCTGGGTCTTGGTAGACTGGCAATCAAGGTCATGGGGAGGCTATATGCTAGCCAGGGCTTCATTCCTAACGGGCACGTCGCCTACGACAACCCATCTTCTATAGCAACGATCAGCAAGGTACCAGGCTGGGGAAACACTCACACTGTCGCCTGGATGGCCTTCGAGCAGACAAATGGAATCAGTGAAATATCACAGGACAAAGATCCCCAATATTTTTAGCAAAATTTATTTTATAAGTTTTTAAGGTAACCAAATTCTTATAAATTAATAATGTCAAATACAATAATCATAATAATAATTATAATTATTGCCATTATATTAATAATTATAAACACAATTCCAATGTAACAAATATTCCTTACTAGCATTGTTGCGAAAAGATTCAGCAAAAAACCAAGATTGTTTAATTCTGCGACAAATTATGTGGAAATTCTGTAACTCACAAACTGCTTGCCGTTCTTCCCGGGGTTTACTCTGATCACATCACTTCGACCAATTACAACATCATAGTTATGGAGCGTTATGTAATGGACTCCCTCTCATTACTTATATCTGTGTATGCATATATATGTATATGTTTATGTAATATTAACTACTGTGTAATTAACTTCACAAGATTGTCACTTTGCTAAATGAACTATGGGGTTTAGTTCTTGAGCCCATTATGTGCCTCTGTAACTCTTTCCACCACCGCCCACGCCATGCGTATGGGGAGCTTAATAAATAAATGAGTGAATGAAAAACTCTCAGCTGGACATACAGGTAACTATCCTCTTATGATGCCGTTAAGTTCACTATTCCTCGAGTGCCTTCCCCTGTACTTCGGCAGAGCAGGCCATGCTGGCCGCACCTGTCAACCACCACTTCGCTGCAAATACACACACTCACACACACTATAGTCACACTTATCCAGACCACTGGATAAGTGTGGGAAGCATGATCAGTAAACTAATGTCTATGTAACTGGTTTGACACTGATGCAAATTGCTCACCTTAAAGACTGTTGTGGTCCAATTCTTGAACCAATTGTGCTATAACATATTATATATAACATATATATATATATATATATATATATATATATATATATATATATATATATATATATATATTTTAAGCTGTGTAATTAGCTCATAAGTTTGTAACTTGCTTATCTAATTGAACCTGATGTGCATCTAATTTTTCCTACTATCGTCCACAGGATTGGTATCGGGTGCATAATAAATCAACAAAATAAGCCATAAACATATAAAGACTCGAAACAACTATAAACACACAACGATGAGAGTAGAGCCAGAAAGAAATTTAGAGAAAGGTATAGTGGACAAATGCTAAGCCGAACGAAGCCTATTGTATAAACTTGTAAGGAGCAAATTGCATTAACATAAAATCCATAGATTAAGATTAAGAGATTCAACAACTAAAAAGAAAATATGGTTAACACTAAATTAATAGTTCCAAAGCGATCCGTAGAATTACCCAAAGCCTCCTATAGAACTATATACACGAAGCAGTGTTTGCATTAATGCAGATTTTCTTGAATTTATCAAACATTATATTACCTTTAGAAGAACTACGGAGATCTTACAAGAAAGTTCGAGGGCTGGGTCGACTCCAGCTGGAACTAAATATCTGGAGCTAAATGTGTTAAGCTTTTTCGTTGAGTTGCATACAAAACGCTGTTCTGGAAGCTAGAACATATAGAGGGGGAGGGGATGTTGACAACATGGATGGGAATGTTTCCAGCTAACAGAAAAATAAAAGCAGTGAAGGAACTATGAAAGACCGGTCTGGTGTTGCCCTTAAATCCTATCAACGGTTGGAGAGTTAAAGCCGTGGCCAATAGCTTACTGACCAACCAACAAGTATATTTTAGTCTTTGTCATAATTCAGGAAAGGTCAAAGGTCAATATGGGATTAGACAAGTATATGTTCGAATCCAGATTAAAGATTGGATGTATGGTGAAAAGCTCGACATATTTGTTAAGTAAAGTCAAGAATAACAAGGGTACTGTGCTTTTGAATATTATCAAAGCAGGTGATGGGACGGATATGACAACATAATTATAACATATCATTATATTAGTAGTGATGATAATACAGTAGCTGTGATGGCAGTGGCAGTGATGATGGTGACGTCGGGGTGGCAGTGCTTGGGGTACCTCTCGCCAGTGCCAACTTAGCCCGTGTGGAGTACAGACGTGCCGGGCAGGCGGCCTCTCGCAAGGTGCCCGCCAAACTTCCTCCGCTTTCGACCAGTGCTGCCAACTGGCGTCCAAACCAAACACTTCGCTCTAGCAATATGACCTGGGAACTGTTCTTGTATATGACAGAGTGAGAACACAACAATGTAAAATAATGTATCTGCGAAATAACCACCATTGAAAGACATTTTTTCGCGCGTGAATTAAATTAATAATAATAGGATAATTTACTAAAGGTAAATTATTCGCTTGTCTTTCATGCAGCTATTTTGGAGAACTATAATATTTAGTAACGAAGCTCCATTATTAAACAACGTTTTATAAGAGCAATAATAAAAATATGACAGAGGCCTGTCCTCAAAGTCTTCTTCATTTACGTCATAATAGAAAATTATCTTGTGATGTAGTAGGCTGTGATCTGTTAGTGAAAAAAGAATTTAGACATTTCTGCATTAACATGCGATACCCGATATTTACAATGCAAATGTATATTTTCTTGTATTAAACAATCGGTATCATTTTTATCATGTTAAATAAATAATCCAATCTTTTGTTTATGTATGGAGATCTGTGCTGACCACCTGTTGTTCCAGATAATGGACTCGTTCTCACTCTGCCTGTTACAATTTCTCTTTCGTTCTTACGGGGTACGCGCTGATATTTGGCAAACTCATTTAGCATATAGTAATGAAGAATGTTGAGCAAAATTGATGATAAAGATTAAGCCACCCAAGAGGTGGCACGGGCATGAATAGCCCGTAATGAGCAAAATGTTTGTTACTGCATTTTCTGAGCTCACTCACTTTTCTCACACACACACATTATATATATATATATATATATATATATATATATATATATATATATATATATATATATATATATATATATATATATATATATATAAATAAAAGGAGGATATATACCAAGAATTATACAGAACTCACTTCTCGGCGGTGTTTATACACAGTTTACTTTAGTCCTGGACAAGATTCAACACTAAAGTATATATGTTGGTTGGTCAATAAGCTACCACAATAACCAAGAGCAACACCAAATTCAACGCTAAACTAACTCTTGGATGTTGCATCCACTGGGCTATTGCAGTGGCCTTACAATACCCAAGAGGTTGGAAACTGTAAGACCAATTACAATATTACTCAAGAAGTTGATAGGTATTAAGCTCACCACCAAAGAAAACTTTTCGCTATCTTGAAAGGACAATGAGCGCAAATGTACACAATGAACATTTACAGCTGCTAAAACAAGCATGCAAAATGTTGAACTATTGAACAGTGAGTAAAGTATAATGTTCAATAAAGAAACATGGGAGAAAGTGTCAAAAACAAACATGAATTTGTAAACGGCATTACATTTTTTTTTATTTTAAAACAAGTACTTACAAGCGAAAAAATCATGTAAAATAAAATAAAAACTGTAAAAACTGAATAAGTGCAAACATTGTGTAAATTGAACAAGTGTAAACATTGTGTAAACTGAACGCATGCAAACATTGTGAATACTGAACAAGTACAAACATTGTGTAAATTGAACAAGCACAAACATTGTGAATACTGAATAAGTGCAAACATTGTGAATACTGAACAAGTACAAACATAGTGTAAATTGAACAAGTACAAACATTGTGGAAACTGAACAAGTACAGTGTATAAGCTGAACAAGTACAGTGTATAAGCTGAACAAGTACATTGTATAATACAAGAAACTGCAGATGTAAACTAGCTGCAAACCACGCAACTAACGGTATAATCGTAGTGTAAAGCATGCGAGTTAAGAGCAGTTGCTGAAGTGCAATTCTGTAGTTCAATTGCAAGTGTTTGTATAATGTTTATGATCTGCAAAGAGCTTCAAACTGTTAATTATTATCACTGATACGGAAGTACAGACAATTATCCACAAGAAGGGGTTCGCTGTATAATAAATATTGTATATCTTGTATCATACAGTATCTCATTTTTAAACAAACACATTTCTTACACATGTGATACACCCACTGCCACACACACCCGGACACACTCCCGCACACCTGACACTCACACAGTCATGACAACATACCTTAGGCACACTCAAACATAAACACAGGCTTTAGCGGATCAAACGGAAAGGGAATACGATACGTGTTTTGACTTGAGTGACTTCAGTGTGCGCAGGATTCCCTTATGTCTGACCGACGCATATGTCTTGTGCAGACGCATGTCTTACCATGATGCGTAAGTTCTTGTCCTGGTGTATACTGTTCTTGTGTCCTGACATTTTAACTTTCTTCCGATGCAAGATTCCCTGTATTGAAGCATCTCCTATCCTCATGTATAGAGTCTTATCAGTGATAAAATTCTATCACGTATAAAAATCTTGCACACACACCTATGAAGTCTTATTTCCGCTATAAAGTCTTTTCATCGCGAACAAAATTTTAGCCTCACGCATAAAGTCTTATCCTTTTTAACTTTTTTCTTTATTAAATAAAATGCAATATAAAGATCATATTTACATAAATTTACAAGGGAAAATACAACATTTATATACAGTTTAAATAATTCTAATCCTTTTTATATTAGTTTTTTCACATGCATAAAGTCTTATTGTCCCGCATCAAATTTGATCCTCACGAAAAAAGTCTTATCGTCACACAAAGTTTTATCGTAACGAATAAGACCGTATCCTCACTCATAATTTTTTTGCCCTGACGTATAAAGACCTATTATCATACATGTTGTCTTATTCTAACGCATAAAGTCTTATTCGCGGTCATAAGGTAGAAAGTCTTATCACCAGGAGAAAATCTTATCCTCACATAGAAAGCCTTATCCTCAAATATAAAATCTTATTGTCACGTGGAAAATCTTATCCTTGCGGATAATGTTCTCATACCTGGAGTATACCTGAAGTATACCTGGAGGGAGTTTTGAGAGTTCGTCTACTCCCCCAACCCCGGCCTGGGCTAGGCTTGATTTGTGGCAACTGCCTTATGCGTATTCCCAAGCAACAGACGCTTCTTGAAGGAATTTGTCTAGTTTTCATGTGAGCACGTTCACTTTCGTATCGGCAATATTTCTTTATTGCCGGGAGGATATTGAATAGCTGTGGACCTGTGGTGTTCATAAAATATTCTCTAAATGTTGTAACATAACTTAATGGAGCGTATGTCTTATAAATATTATATATCGTTATGTTAACATTTTGTTTCACAACAATTTTAGGCAATATGCTAAACTTACTTGCATAACTTTTTCAGAATATTTGCTTGATTTCAGGACACTTCAGAAAATGTGATGACAATATAGGGGTCGTTTGAAACATTGCCAGCTAATCTCGAGTGACCTTTGAACTCATACGAGTTGATCTGAGTCAATTTACAAACAAACGTGATTTAGAAATGTGACTGCCAATGGCATTCAGGAAAAATAATTTTAACAAATCCATGGAAAACAGGCATAATATTGTGTTGCTGACCTAATGAGGGGCAAATTGAAACTATCTACTGCTTGACCTCGGTGATATATATATCTCATTCACTGAAGCCCTCCCCTCCAGCAAGCATTGACCCACCAGTTCCAGCAGCCGATGGGGAGGGAAAAATGATGAATGTGGAAGAAAAACCTATGAAAATTCCAGAGATATATGACTTATCTGCCTTCTGAAGTGTGAAGCAATTAAGGACATAATAACTTGTAGTCAGTGTAAACATAAAACAGACTCCTGGAAGCTCACAGATAAATACAGAAAATATAGTGTTAATAGTGTTTAAATAATTAATTCATTATTCAATTCAAAATTCAATTCAAAATATGTCATAAAATATAAGTGTTAACAGCAGTATGCATATCTTGACAACCAAACTATATATTAATAATCAGAGGAAATTGACATAATTCAGACAAACTTGTATGCCAGGATTAAATTTACTATTGGTTTTTTAAATATACCCGGTACAAACAAACAGCTTAATCAGAAGTTTTAACCGGTAACAATTATGGAACGATAATATCAACTCTGCACACACGGGGATACAAAAATCAGCAAGAGAAAAACCCAACCAATTAAACGCACATCTGAGGTGTATTTGGTGGTGTGAGGTGCGCCGAGCCACGATCATGGCGGCGATGTTCCAGACATGTGACGGAGCGAGGCGTGGGGGTATCACTGTTCTCATGTTGCTGACACTCTCCTGGTGTTCACCTGTTCTACCTCTCCCAGGTAAGCCTTCTGTGTGTGTGTATATATTGTTGGACTAACGTCTGGAATTTGCTTGTCTTTGGCCACATGAAAACTTTAGAGCTTGGTTTGTAACAATGTGACTGGTGATCAACCACGTTGATGCTGTGGAGAGCCCATCTGTCTGCTCTGTTCTTGTAGCATGTCCTCATAGACAATTTACAATTGTTAATCCAGCCTCCAAATCCCCTGATTATGAATGAAAAATACTTTACCCATAACTCAACCCGTTCTCAAGCTATGCTCATCCAATCACTTACCAACCCCCAAAATGCATTCATCAATTTTAACATTGTCAGAGAGATTAAAGTAAATTCAGGGTATATACATAAAAAATTTGGATACAATTAATGGTGTGTATATATATATATATCCATGACTATTTTCATGTATTGAGCATCATCTTGTAATTGTCCTTTTCATTTATTACATAGTATTTAATTAAATTGATTGTGTGTTAGGCTATTATGTTTATTTCGTTGTGCGAATGAATAATGTACTATAATTTATAGGAAAGTGAATCAATTATATATATATATATATATACAATTGTTTTCTGAATACATTTTTTGATATGATTTGATAACCTCCGAACAAATTCTACAGATGTTCTTGCTCTTAACTCCATTTGAGCCCGGACAATCCTTTATATCTGTTTTGATCCTCAATGGGAGCGTTTGGGATGCCTGAGGATAGTTTGACTAAGAATGTCAACACCATTTCACATGTGTTAGCTCTCAGGATAATGACAATCTCAGTACCTATCCACAAAATGAGACTTGACAAGCTTTTTTATTTAAAATGATTAGACTTGTAAAAACTGAAGTTTGATTATTATACGGTAAACCTAATGTAACGCTCTGGAAGCTGCCATGGACGTTTAGCTATTAATGTCTAGCACGACCTTTCTCTCACGGTGTGTTCGAATTTTTGCTTTTATCTTAGGTACAGCCTTCGCTTCTCTCTTCTGTTAATTTTACACATTCACTCTTCTCTTTCTCCTGTCAACTCATCGTTTCAATTCATTCCTCCTTTTTAAGCTCTTCCCATCCACGGGACAATAACAGTTTAGTTCACTTTTCCTTGGTGTACTGTCCTACAGCCTGTTGGACCAAGCTCTCAAGCATCAGGGGCCAGGCTTGAGGAGTAGATGAATCCCCAGATTCCTATCCAGGTCTCTTTCCCAACCATTGTATACCGTCACTTTTCCCTCCTGGAAAAATAGCTGTCCGGGGTGGGGGTGGAATACGTGATTATACGTCACGAAGAGCAGGAAAGTGTGGCTTATGAAGCCCTTCTTCCCGCCTCAGGCTGAGATAGACAAAAAGTGTTCAGTTCCTCTTGTGATAATCCGTCTCGTTTTGTTAGGTTTCACAGCCTATCTTCTCCGGTTTGATTCCTGCTGATGAGTCTGTCCATAACAATGGAACAGTCGAGCTGCCTGATCACTTTAGTGTTGATAATTATTTTAATTTAAAATTCAAGGAAAACGTAACAAGAAAAAACACAGTCGTTGAGCTATAGAATTTCCGAATAGTCACAGCTATAGTCGAATGACTGCACAAACCATAACTGGAGAACTAGGGGACTCGTTACACACCAGAGTAACAAAGTCAGTAGACTCTGTACAAATCTCCCTTGTGAGGAACTTATCGGGAAGTGAGGGATAACTAAACTTATCTAAAAAAAAAAATGGCCACCAATCACTAAAACTGTTGCAATCAGTGGATGCTTCAGGCTAGCATTCCCCAGGAAGCGGCCTGTCAACCAAGGAATTTAGGAATTTCTTGAATGCTTGGCTTTGCAGGACAAGAACCTTTAAGAATCTGTTCTTTAAAGTCATTGTGACAACCACATCAGTGGACATTGTGGATTCTAACTCAAGTGGATTTCCTGACATCCCGAGGTGAAAGTCTAAAGTTATTATCAATATGATTTGAAAGAAATTATTATGAGAACGTTATTAAGTTAATTTGTTTAACCACCGCGATCAGTAACATCAAAGAAGAAATTCCATAACTTCAGGTGGCGAACATAAACCAGCATGAGGTCTTCAGTCGAGATATATAATAATGTTGTAGTTTTGATTATATATTTTGTTAAGGCACTACGGGCTCACCATAGCCCGTGCTACTTGGAACTTTGTTCCAGGTAGCAAATCTTTAACAACACCAACGATTACATGTTAAATTCCAGGAACCGAAATACATTTAAAGGTGTTTCTCAGTACTTGGATATACACAAATCATACATTAGTCGCCGATTTTATGAAGGACGAAAATATTCATACTGATAGGTTAGTAAATTATGTTGGGGTTATTCATAATTCTTCAAAGGCTAAACACAAAACCAATCCAGGTTACACTATAAAAGCATACCCTGCGTCTCGGTTATGTTGAGATGATTTCGGGGCTTAGCGTCCCCGCGGCCCAGTCCTCGACCAGGCCTCCTTTTTGTTACACATCCCCAGGAAGCAGCCCGTAGCAGCTGTATAACTCCCAGGTACCTACCTATTTACTGCTAGGTAACAGGGGCAACAGGGTGAAAGAAACATTTTGCCCATTTGTCTCTGCCTCCACCGGGGATCGAAGCCAGAACCTCAGGACTACGAATCCGAAGCAGTGTCCACCCAGCTGTCAGGCGCCTATAAGCGGTGCATATACTCTGAGTTTACTTTAGTCGTGGACTATGTCAAGTCGTAAGTCAAGAAACTGTATATATCGTAAAAAGAAACGTGGACCATACCACGGCTGGTTCACCTTCATTCGTCACTCATGCTGCTGGAAGTTCCTCCATACGGGAACTCCCGAGAGACAGTGTTGACAGATGTAGAAAGTACCAGTCATGATGAACATGTTCCAGAAAGGAAGCGCACGAGTTCTTTGTAGAGAACTACGACAATGACGCATGCAAACAGTAAATGCAACATGATAAAATTCTACAGGCATGGCTGTTTGAAAAACACTTAATCATGGAATATATTATAGCTCTAAAAAGTATGAAGCTATAGCACTAAACATCTTGAGTGTTGTAAGGTATCGCTCGAGTCAACAGTGGCATTAATAAGGATCATTTGATCTGAAGTAATGTATGGCTCAGTGCAGTGCAATGACCCAACATTGAATTCCACGTCTAACCGACCCCTTCTGAGCATTACAAATGCATGAAATTGTTCCACATCATGTCGACAAATGTCAGACGGCGCCCGTAAGACCACATCAGTAAATACTATATACAAAGTGCAGCTTCCCCAGCTCCACGTCAGTGTGGGTGTGTCATTACACACAAAATTACACACCCAATATTACAAAAATAATATCACTTGTTAGTCGAAAACTGGTACAAACATCTGTTTACAAACTATCTTCCAATACACTCGAATACAAACGCAACAAGTAACGTTATGTATTTTAGGCTACGAAACAATAGAAAAAAGAAAAACATCGTTCTAAACACTTTTGACAGCCAGAGAGCAGCAGCTGGGCAACAGCTGTGGGCGTCTGCCGGGGGGACCATCACCGACACAGGCGGCGTATGGTCAAATCGTGCACAGGTGTTCCGACAAATCTTGTTTCTGATTGATTGATTGATTGATGAAGATTAAGCCACCCAAAAGGTGGCACGGGCATGAATAGCCCGTAAGTGGTGGCCCTTTTGAGCCATTACCAGTATCAATAGATGATATTGGAGATCTGTATCTCCAGTATCAGTATGACTGCACCCTACGTGACGGGAGATGTCTCCCGTGTGACCAAATGTCTTGTTTCTAACTGTTACTCCCGTATATATCGTTAGATTAGGATGCATTAGCTTAGATTAGGTTTCGTTGGGATAGATTAGGTTGGTTTGAGTTAGGTCAAGTTGGATAAAATTAAGTAGAATTGAAAACACGTTAGTGAACCATATTATGTATGTATACGATATAACTTGTATACTCCCAGATGTTCTTGCTCGGCGTCCTCAGTATTCTTGCTTCTGTCGTTTGTTGTAAGCTGTGGTTGTGTAATGGCCCTATTGCTCATTGGCACGTGGGAACGTGTCTTTTTTTCTAATATGTTCACGCTTAAGTTCTTTGGCTTGTATGCAGCTATCCTAAATTAAATTCAGGTGCGATGAGATAAGACAGCTATGTAATATCTAGATCCCCATCAGTTAGCCAGTACTAGCAAACTTTGAATAGATTACCATTTGATAATGGTTCAGGACGACTGAAACGGCGTCACTCCCTTTATTTTCTGATGTGTGGGTTAGGTGTCCAATTTTCAAAGTACACCCTTGCGACCTACTGTTTACATACCGGGATATCCTCAAGAACAGGAAATAAAGTAATTACCAAGCTCTAGGTATCTCAGACTGACAAGTCTGAATAACTGGGCATTTAATAATATAATGTAGTGCATAACCCAATTCCTGCTCGCAGTAATTTACAATGGAGAGCTCTTTAGGATTAGGAAACTGGGTTCGACGTCAAATAACGGAGACGTTCGAAGATCTGAGTGTGGACAGGGCAGGTATTGGCTTAGTATAGCTTTGAGATTTATCCATTCGTTGTTTCTATATTTGGCTAGTAACCGATGTAAATATCTTCGCTCTAGCCGGTTTAGAGGTTAAGTTATTTGAGTTATGTGAGCGCGTCCGTTGTATTTCCGCTACTCGATTTCAAGCCTTGTAGAAATACAATTCTTCAATTATGTTAATTTGCATATGTCTCGATATTTGTACATAATAATTATTAATGATTAGTATTACAGTAATACTATGCTTGTATGTATAAATTTTGAAGTATGAACATTCATGCATGTGTATGTATACATAAGAGTGGCGGAGCTAGTTATAGAAGCTAGCAGGAGCTAGTTGTGGAAGCTAGCAGGAGGAACTTCTTGTGGAAGCCAGTTGGAGGAGCTAGTAGTAGAAGCTAGCTGGAGGAGCTAGTATAAAAGCTGGCTGGAGCAACTAGTTGCAGAAGCTAGCTGAAGGAGCTA